ACATTCCCCGCCCTCACGGGGCTCGTAGGGAGAAGCTAGGCCTCTGGTCTGCCATCTGCCCCGCCCTAAAAGGGCTCTTGGGGATGGCAGTCTTATGAGCTGCAGATGGTAGCAAGCTCAGGCTATCAGATTAAGAGCTGAACGTGTACACCAGTGAGCTATACATAAGAACGAAGAAACATTGCAGTCGGCCTGCTAGTCCATGCTAGGCAGGACTAATTCACATCCAATCATACGCACTCACGTACCCATCCAACCTACATGTAAAGCTACTCAAAATTCGTGCCTTACTGTCGTTGTTACCTGGGAGTCTGTTCTAGTCGTCTGCTACTCTTGCTAAATTTCTCCAACCTGAATCCATTGCTGCGAGTCCTGTCTTGGTTGGACATTTTCAACATGCTATTTATATCCCCTTTATTTATTCCTGCTTTCCATTTATACGCTTCAGTCATATCTCCCCTAATTATACGCCTTTCCAGAGATGCAAATACAGTGTTTTCAGCCTATCTTCGTGGGGAAAGGTTTCTAATACAAGGAATAAATTTCATGAAAATTCTATATAACCAATTTCCACTTCTCCCAGAGCCAATAACCAAGTATATCCCAGTTTAAGATGTGAGGTAGTTTAATTCTTACGGAATAGGTCTGTAAATTAGCAGTTGGCCGGGTCCCAGATCCAAGTTTCACTAAGAGCGGGACTGTCACCAAATATCTGATGGTCAGGTTTTGGTGACGTAATAAGACGACTGTAGACAAGTCAAAAATGGACAGTACTAAAAATTTTCCAACTCATCTTAGTACTAGCAGTACTGACGACCAGAGCACTGGCCTCCTAAGTTTCATCCAAATAGGTATGTTTCTATCTGCTATATACAAGGTAGCGAAGAAAACGGAGGAGCCTCCACCACTCCTTGTAGTGGAAGAGTAGTGTTTAATATAATATAATATAATATAATATAATATAATATAATATAATAATAATAATAATAATAATAATAATAATAATAATAATAGTATCTTTATTTACTACAAGTACATGTACATGGTATACATACAGCTATATAGAAAGCCCCTTGTTATACTGAACATTTCGGGCAAATTAGGTCAGTGTCCCAGGATGCGACCCACACCAGTCTACTAACACCCAGGTACCCATCTAGTAAATATCTTTATTCACTACAAGTACATGTACAAGGTATACAGGCCTAGCTGACATCAATGACATACTACTATATAGAAAGTCGCTTGTTACGCAGAGCATTTCGGGCAAATTAGGTCAGTTTTGTCCCAGGATGCGACCCACACCTGTCGACTAACACCCAGGTACCCATTTTACTGATGGGTGAACATAAACAACCGATGTAAAGAAACACTTCCAGTGTTTCCACCCAGGAAATACAATCCTCTCTACGGGTCATCTAAAACTAAGGCCACCCATCCTTAGGTTCAAACAGTAAAAGTAGCATATCAGCGCATTGCTGATGTACCTAATTTTGGCTGCCCCTGACTACCTAACAGTAAACACGGTATCTGTATGTTAGAAATTCCAGTACAGTGCACGTTGGAGGTATTAGTCTTCTGGACAAATGTATCCATGTACAGAAGCGGAATGGATCTTAAAAACCGGCCCGGGCATCCGTTACCTATCGGGCCGGCTCATTAACTGTTGAGGGTCAAAGGCGTGTTTTCACTGCTCAGCTAAGGTGCATTCCATTTTCGTTTCAGTCTTTGTGCAGCGGCTATGACTTCAGTTTTTCGTGACATTTTTTCAGTTTTTTTTCCCCCAGCCCAGAGGCTCACTGGGCATTGCCCAAAAGTCAGTATGGCCATGTCCGCCTCTGTCTATGTACCTAATGATATTAAAAAAAAAAAATCCATACCCTCGGTGTTCTTGGATAACTTTACACTCAGATATACCAAAATGGGGATACGTTTTTTTTTTTTTTACCGTCGCACGTGTGCCCAGCTCTCTAGATCCTCTCACTGTTCTCATATCTTCACAACAAATGTTCTAAAATGCATCATCACACATATTTATAATTACACTGAACATCATTTATGTATGTTTAGACATCCATGTATGAAACTATAAGCTACATATAGAATATCAATTATAAATTTAATATGTATATATACGTAAAAGTAGGCCTATTCATAAACCTAAATGAGTTTATATGTAATTAAACGAAAACCGTTCTTATTTAACATAACTCAAATTTTCCCAGGGCAGAGAGAGAGAGAGAGAGAGAGAGAGAGAGAGAGAGAGAGAGAGAGAGAGAGAGAGAGAGAGAGAGAGAGAGAGAGAGAGAGAGAGAGAGAGAGAGAGAGAGAGAGGTAAATGAAGAAATGAGATAAGAGGAAGGCCTACCCAGTCGGTAGGGGCGAGGATATTGTGGAGTCCTGGGCAGGCTGTGAGTAGCAAGGTCAACACCTCCTTCAGGAAGGTCAGACACAGGTCTTCCTCGTCCCGTGCTGCCTCACGCAGCGACCACTTCACTGCCTGAACACAAAGAAACAACACTTAGTTTAACTTTCATATACACTTTAGCAAAACTGAATACATCAGCAATGTGTTTCTATCCTATTTTATATGATAGTTACATAATGTGAACAACATTTTGCTATGTTTCCCTGCCATGTTCCCTCACACAAGATGGGTTACATATCAGACTAAAAGACTTCAGTAGAGCAATGAGGATATCGTCAACTGTTCCATTAAAGGTTCATTAGATACGAGAGCTTCAAAGGTATCCATAGCTGGGATTTCTACTACATCTGAAGTAGCGTTTCTCAAGATAGTCTGTCCCAAACACAAGAGGAATGGAATTTGTATAAGGATATCTTCAGCATCACGAGATTTGGCCAATAAAAATCTATATACAGAAGATATCTAAACTTGCACAGACATCAATATATAACAAACGCAGATTCGTTTGTGCTTAAAAATACTTGCACTAGCCTCGCATCAACCAGTCGGAGCAACATAAAACAAACTATTACACTTGGACTAAGCAAGAGTCAGTAAATGTAGGCTGCTCCTCCGACAAAGACTAATCACAAATTATTATTATGCTGACCCACACAGTTTAATGAAAAGTCTGACATGGTTAAATAAAAACTGACATAGCATACGTAAGCTCTGACACTGCGAGTCTGCCGAATTATGAAAGGCCTGACACAGAGTAATGGTCACAGCATAATGAACAGTCTGCCACAACATAATGAACGGTCTGCATAACAGCATAATAAAAGGTAAAGAAGTCTGATACAGTGTAGTGACAGTTGTTACACAGGAAAGCCTGCCACATAATGAAAGGTCTGCCTCAGTGTAATGAAATGCCTGATACAGCGTAATGAAAGCTATGAATCATTCTTTCAGTAAAACACACTCACACAGGTAAGTCGGTTACTCCCACGAATCTATTAATGCTCGTACACACGCGTCAACATCCCCCCACTCCACATCGCAGGGATATATGTATACCTGTGTTGCAACAAGACTTTGGGTCAAATGCGTCCATGTATCAATGGTTGACAATTTAATTATAACTGATTCTTTACCATCCATAAATGCTCTTAACTCCTTGAGTATTACTTGTGGTATGTTTGTGTCAGAAGATAGACACAAGTATAGTACGATTGTGGACAGTGGAGTCCGAGTACACCTGTGGACTCTATCTCAGATCAGTCTTCAGATGCATGACAGAACTGACAAATTAGCAAAGTCATATGCCTTCAAAGAGGGAGTAGAAAACAATCTTGGACTGTCAATTAACAGTTTGAGAACAATAATACAAAAAGAACTTCATTAACTTTAGACCGAGGGAGAATACATCAGTCAGTCCACCTATCATGCAGGAGCCACGTCTGTGGTGCATCCAGCGAAATAAGCAGACTCTTGGATGTCATTACTGCCAGGCTCCAGCTGGTTTACCAGTATCTCTGGGAGGTTAAATCACCGCTACCAAATGATGTAGACCAAACGAAGTGTAAAGTTTGCGAGATAGGCAATTGTCACACCTTGCGTCATTATGTGCTGGAATGTGATAAAATTAATGAATTCAGAGACAACTCACTCAGAAATGTTAAAAGTATTTTATCCAGTGACATAATACTAACCATTCTGGAAAAATACCTAGTCTTTGCCCACTGTAAACAACGCATAACCATATTTATTTTTTTTACAAGCGCACCTTGCTAAAATGTAAGGTAAAATTTTTGTGGCTTAATTAATGTCTGCATAAATAACTCAATACGATTGTAACCAAATATAAACACCAAATATAGCCACTGTAGCTTGGTTAGCTATGAAAATTTTGCGGCCCAGTCCCTGGATCGATTATATTGTGCCTCTCATCTTTTGACTACAGCCCACGGGATGGGTATGAGGTGCATAATACAGTTATTAAACTAACTACCGGTTTGTATGTATTGACAATTTACTTTCATATTTTAGGGATTCGAGTATTCTTCATGTTACTGAGGAGGCCTTAATAACGTGGAGTCGATAACTTTAAGCCTAAAAATGTAAGAAAACACAAGATGGTCCAGTCATATCACACTGGTTGATCAAGGCTTTTTATGCTGGGCCTATGTGCTCAGCTCAGTCCCTGAATACACAACTAGGTGAGCACAGGCAGACAGACGAACACACTCACGAACGCATGCACGCAAACACACACACACACACACACACACACACACACACACACACACACACACACACACACACACACACACACAGGAGAAGATTATCAGGAGGAGAGTGGTGGAGCACCTGGAACGGAACAGGAGTATAAATGCCAACCAGCACGGATTCACGGAAGGCAAATCCTGTGTCACAAACCTTCTGGAGTTTTATGATAAAATAACAGAAGTAAGACAAGAGAGAGAGGGGTGGGTTGATTGCATCTTCTTGGACTGCAAGAAGGCCTTTGACACAGTTCCTCACAAGAGATTAGTGCAGAAGCTAGAGCATCAGGCGCATATAACAGGAAGGGCACTGCAATGGATCAGAGAATACCTGACAGGGAGGCAACAACGAGTCATGGTACGTAATGATGTATCACAGTGGGCACCTGTGACGAGCGGGGTCCCACAGGGGTCGGTCCAAGGACCAGTGCTATTTTTTTGGTATATGTGAACGACATGACGGAAGGGTTAGACTCAGAAGTGTCCCTGTTTGCAGATGATGTGAAGTTAATGAGGAGAATTAAATCTGATGAGGACCAGGCAGGACTTCAAAGAGACCTGGACAGACTGGACACCTGGTCCAGCAAATGGCTTCTCGAATTTAATCCTGCCAAATGCAAAGTCATGAAGATGGGGGAGGGGCACAGAAGACCACAGACAGAGTATAGGCTAGGTGGCCAAAGACTGCAAACCTCACTCAAGGAGAAAGATCTTGGGGTGAGTATAACACCGAGCATGTCTCCGGAAGCACACATCAATCAGATAACTGCTGCAGCATATGGGCGCCTGGCAAACCTGAGAACAGCATTCCGATACCTTAGTAAGGAATCATTCAAGACACTGTACACCGTGTATGTCAGGCCCATACTGGAGTATGCAGCACCTGTTTGGAACCCGCACTTGATAAAGCACGTCAAGAAACTAGAGAAAGTGCAAAGGTTTGCGACAAGGTTAGTTCCAGAGCTAAGGGGAATGTCCTATGAGGAAAGATTAAGGGAAATCGGCCTGACCACACTGGAGGACAGGAGGGTCAGGGGAGACATGATAACGACATATAAAATACTGTGTGGAATAGACAAGGTGGACAAAGACAGGATGTTCCAGGGAGGGGACACAGAAACAAGAGGCCACAATTGGAAGTTGAAGACACAAATGAGTCAGAGAGATAGTAGGAAGTATTTCTTCAGTCATAGAGTTGTAAGGCAGTGGAATAGCCTAGAAAATGACGTAGTGGAGGCAGGAACCACACACAGTTTTAAGACGAGGTTTGATAAAGCTCATGGAGCGGGGAGAGAGAGGGCCTAGTAGCAACCGGTGAAGAGGCGGGGCCAGGAGCTAGGACTCGACCCCTGCAACCACAAATAGGTGAGTACAAATAGGTGAGTACAGGTACTCGGTAGTACAGCTGAAAATTACACACATGAGTCACAGGGATATCAGTAAATCAGTATTTCTTCAGTCTTATGTGGTCGAAAGGTGGAATGACCTCAGCGAAGTGGTGGAGGCTGACTTCTTACAGTTAGTTTTAAGAAACAGTATCTTTCACTCCACAGCAGGATTCGAACCTTCACATCCTGCGAAAGCACTGTATACTCTGATACTAAGTGTGCAGGTTCGAATCCTCCTGTAGAGTGAGAGATAATGTTTGTTAGAAGTTCGCTCCTTTTGTGAACTGTTAAGCATAGTTTTAAGAATATATACGATAGGGCCCACGAGGCTAGGAGAGCGTCTGAGAAACGGCCAGTTGAAAGGCAGAGCCAGGAGCTAAGACGCGACCCGTGCAACCACATATAGGTAAGTATACATACATACATACACACACACACACACACACACAAACTTTTCTGTGAATATAATAATAATAAAACGCTAAAGTGTAAGGGAGATTCCGAAGACTTGTGGTGGTGATTTCGTGTTGGAGAGGGAGATACTGAGGGCTTGTGGTGTTCATTCATCAGTTATATATTCTTAAGATCTTACTTGGATAATTGGGTTTAATCGACTGCACGAGGGTCAATAAGGTTGTATGCAACCTATTCACCAATCAAGGATACTTTAATCTCTTAAAAATGAATTACAGAAGCTCCTAGGAAATTGTCGAAAAGTTCAACTGCTTCAAATGTAAAAAAAAAAAAAAAAAAAAAAAAAAAAAAAAAAAAAAAAAAAAAAAAAAAAAAAAAAAAGAGTAAAATGTGGATACAAAGAACAAATAATTCTATATAGAAGAACCTCAGTGGTGCTCCCTCCCCAGTGATGTACCCATCACCAGCAATAATGTTCAAGGGTGGCTTGATACATTGCCTACATGCGCAGGTGCTACTGCCATTCAATGAAGTGTTGAGTCTTGATCCTCCTTCAAATGTATGTGTATATATATATATATATTATATATATATATATATATATATATATATTATATATATATATATATATATATATATATATATATTAAGTAGTGATGATTTCTACAGAGCGGTCCATGCGGCAGAGTGGCTTCCTCCCAAAAGGCCTTCTACAGAGCGGTCTCCTTTTCACACCTATATGCTAATGACCTTTTTCACACCTATATGCTAATGACCTTTTTCACACCTATATGCTAATGACCTTAACCCCACCCATGACCCCACCCACGACCCCACCCATGACCCCACCCACGACCCCCCACCCACGACCCCCACCCGCGCCCCTGTGCCCCCCCACCCGCCGCTCCCTCGTGCCCGCCCGTGCTCCTCACGCCCGGCCGTCACGCCCGACCGCACCTTCTGCTGCACCTTCTGCAGCATCATCCGGATCGCCCCTGCGCCCCGA